GTGCAACACAGACACATGCACATATAACACACACACAGAGTGGCAACACAGACACATGCACATATAACATACAGTGCAACACAGACACATGCACATATAACACACACATACAAATGCAACACAGACACATGCACATATAACACACATACAGTGCAACACAGACACACATATAACATACATACAGTGCAACACAGACATATACCACATATAACACACAGTGCAACACTGACACACATATAACACACATACAGTGCAACACAGACATATACACATGTAACACACAGTGCAACACAGACACACACAGATAACACACAGTGCAACACAGACACATGCACATATAACACACACACAGTGCAACACAGACACTCATATAACACACACAGTGCAACACAGACACATACACATATAACATACACAGTGCAACACAGACACATGCACATATAACACACATACAGTGCAACACAGACACATGCACATGTAACACACACACAGTGCAACACAGACATATACCACATATAACACACATACAGTGCAACACAGACACATACACATATAACACACATACAGTGCAACACAGACATATACCACATATAACACACAGTGCAACACTGACACACATATAACACACATACAGTGCAACACAGACATATACACATGTAACACACAGTGCAACACAGACACACACAGATAACACACAGTGCAACACAGACATGCATATAACACACACAATTACAAGCAGACCTCATATAACACACACGGTGCAACACAGACACATACACATATAACTTTACACGGTGCAACAGACACATGCACATATAACACACATGCAGTACAGCACGAGCCTGTACACATATATACACACACAGTGCAACACAGACATATACCACATATAACACACATACAGTGCAACACAGACACATACACACACTGTACACATACAGTTACAACACAGACCATATATCACGCCTGCACACACACAGTGCAACACAGACATATATCACATATACTTACACACACACAGACATATATCACATATAACACACACACAGTGCAACACAGACACATGTACATATAACATACACACAGTGCAACACAGACACATACACAGATACACAGTGTAACACAGACACATACTCATATAACACACATATAGTGCAACACAGACACATACCACATATACACCAAAGAATACACATGCTACAAACACACCACATAATACACACAGTACAATACGATGAAACACAATGCCACATGTGCCACACAATACGCACACACCACACATACATAATACACACCACACATACATAATACACACACACCACACATACATGATACAGTGTGTAGTACATACACAACACACAGATATACACAAATACGCAGAGACATCCCTCACACACCCCAAATGCATATTATACACACTCACATACATAATAACACAGATCACCCAGAAACAAACACAATCACGTTATACATACACACCCCAAATACACTCCATACCCTTTCCCTCCCTCAATCCTTTGCATATCCTCAAATAATTGCAAACTCTCCTATCAAAAAATTGCAAGGCCCGTGAGAACATTAAAGGTAATATATAATTGCATTGTGATAGGTCAAAAATAAATGTATGATATTGGAATCCTATTTGTTCAGCATTCTAGCCATGCAACTGAAGGATATAACACATTTTCCCTTACTCAACCTGTAAATGAATCATCTAAAGATAGTAAGTCATTTTAATAGAGTAGACTGCATAGTGTTGCTTCACTTAAATTTAAAGATGATGTGGGACATAATGAATTTCCAGTTGTGAACACAGGTGCAGACACTCATCACAGTCTGAAAAAAATAAGTTCTTAATGGGATTCATGATATTCAGATTATCTTGCTAACTTCTTCAACTTCTTCCTTTTTTATTTACATTTTTATTGTAAAATAAATCATAGACACAGAAAAATCCCACTCATAACAAATGTATAGCTTAGCGAATTATTTCAAGATGGAAGCCCTCGCAATGATAACTGATATCAAGAAATAGATCTTTGCCATTTCCCCCGAAGAATCTCCATATATATTGTCCATATTGCTAGTTCGAGTTTTTATAAAAAATCATGAATAGTGTTGAATTCTGTCTAATGTTTTGCATTAACATAAAAGCATGATTTTTTCCCCAGCTTTTTTTCTGATGATATGATGAATTAGACTGATTGCCTTTAAAAGCAAAACTGTTCTTCCAGTCCTGAAATAAACCCTATGTCTTCATGATATGGTATCTTTTGTATATATCACTGAACTTACTATGTTAATATTTTTAAATAATTTTTGAGTATATGTTCTGAGAGAGATTCATCCATAAAAGTTGGGAAGTATTTCCTCTCCTTATAGTCCTTTAATGGTGTAATACATTACTTGTTAATTGTTCCTGTGAAATGAAAAATCCACCTGTGCCTGAATTTTTTTGTGGAAATATTAATAATAAATTCAATAATAATCTACTGAATAAACTGAATAATTAATTGTAAATTATATAATAATTTAATTTCTTTAATGTATACCAGACTATTCACATTTTCTATTTATTCTTCTGTTAGAATTGGTAAATTGTATTTGAGGAATTTGTTGATGTAATCCAGATTACCACATTTTATGGAGTAAATTTGTTCATAATATTCTTCTATCTTCTTAATGTTTGTAGAATCTGTAGTTATAGTTCATTTTTTCTTTTTTATTAGGTAGTTTGCATTTTATTCTTGTTCTATTTTACTAGAGATTTATCATTTCAAAGCATAACTTTTGATCTTGTTGATTTTTAAAGATTTAAAAAAAAATTACTGAAATTCTGCTCTGTTCTTTATTTGTAAGTTTCTTCCTTTTTCTTTAAAAGCATATAAAGTTACAAATTTCCCATTGTTTTCTTTTTCCATGATTTCCCCTCCCCCTCCCCCTCCTTTTCCTTTTTTTTTTTTTTTTTTTTTTTTTTTTTTTTTTTTTTTTTTTTTTTTGGAGACGGAGTCTCGCTCTGTCGCCCAGGCTGGAATGCAGTGATGCGATCTCAGTTCACTGCAGCCTCTGCCTCCAAGGTTCAAGCAATTCTCCTGCCTCAGCCTCCTGAGTAGCTGAGATTATAGGTGTCTGCCACCATGGCTGGCTAATTTTTGTATTTTTAGTAAAGACGGGGTTTCACCATGTTGGCCAGGCTGGTCTTGAACTGACCTCAAGTGATCTGCCCATCTTGCCCTCTCAAAGTGCTGGGATTACAGGCATGGACCACCATGCCCGGCTTGTTTTCTGCTTCTAAGATTTCTTTTGAGAAGTCAGCTATTAATTTTTTTCTTTTTTTCCTCATTTGAAGGGAATATGTTATTTCTTTGGCTGATTTTAATATTTTCTTCTTGTCCTTGATTTTTAGAAAGCTGACATCAATGATATATCTAGGTGTGATTTTCTTTATATTTATCTTGCTTGAAGTTTGCTGAACTTCTTGAATGTGTGGGTTGATGTCTTTCATCAGTTTGGAATGTTTTTAGTCATTATCTCTTTGAATATTGCTTCTCATTCTCTCTCCTCCCTGGTAATGCAATTATATATTGTTTAGACATTTTGAATATATCCCATATTTCTCTTAATTTCTTAAAATGATTTTTTTCTTTTTAGTTTCTTTCCTTCAGTTTGGGTGTTTTTCCATTGCATTGCTTTCCAGTTCACCAGCTTTATGTCCAATCTACTGTTAAAACTATACATTGCATTCTTAATTTTGGATATTATGATTTTAGTTCTATAGTTTATTTAAAAAATAATTCTAATTCTTATTTGCAAATTGCCATTATTCTATTTTTATTGCCTCTCATTTCCTCTATTTTCTTGAATATGTTAATCATAATTACTTTAAAATAATTGTCTGTTGTATCTAGAATTTGGGTCACTTGAGAAACTAATTCTGTTGTTTGCTTTTAAAAACATTAAAGCACATTGAGTCTATGGTCTTATCTTTTCACAGATCTAATAATTTCTTGTAAGCTGAATATTTTGTATAAAAGACTGTAGAGGTTCCAACGATGTTATTTTCCACATGAAAGTGTTTCGTGTCTTTTATCTGAGGCAGAGGAGGTTGATTCCCAAGGTCCAGCCATTACGAATTGGTGTAGTTTTGATCAGGCTCAGCCTACCTCTGTTCTCAGGGCTTCATCTGAGAGCTTGGAAAGTCTTTGCATCCTGAGTTCTGAATGATTGTGGGTGATTCAGCTTTGCCTTAGAGAAGTTTAAGCTCAGCACTCACACTCCTGACCTCGTCTTCAGAATTTGGCAAAGGTCTTGATGGAGAGAATGGTTGGGTTGGATGCCCTACACGTGAATTTCGTCCTTCACAAACACTAAAGTTTTGCTTTATTTTCCGTCTCCAGCACCAGCAGCCTCTTGCCAGTGGCTGAGCCTTGATACCCACATTTGTCTGGTGCCCCCTAAAGAGTGACTGCAGATCCTGGTGTGAATTCACTTTCAGCTTGTGCTGGATTTCTTTTCAGGTCCCTTCCCTGGGAAGCTTTTTGTTTCCTAGTCACAAATATTGACAGAAATTTTACTTTGCCTTTCAGGAACTTTTGGCCTAGCTCTTTAAAGGCCTCCACTCCCCTGACTACTCAGCTAAAAAAAAAAAAAAAAAAAAAAAAAAAAAAAAAAAAAAAAAACCCAGCAAATGTCTTGTGGGTTAAATCAGCTATGCATTGCAGGACCCTCACCTGAGATATGATTTGTCACCCTAGCCCTACGGTACCACTGAAAGCTTTTCTGGTTTTCCTTCTTCCAGCGGCATCTTCTACCTGACCCAAATCTGATCATTGGGCTTCTACCTATTTAACAGTATAGGAAGATGTTTCCAGGGAAAAATAGATACCAACCATCATCTCCCTCTTCCTGGCTTTTCTCTCTGAAAGTTTATTTAGGTCTCGTTGATTCCACATCTCTCCAATGCTTTGAAAATGATTTTTTATTCTTTTGTTTTGTTTTAGTTCCTGAGATCAGCAGCATTGGCTGTGACCTACCATTTAGAAGTGGAAGTTCGGGGCACATGTTTTGACTTTCTTTTTCATAGTTTGATGATTTGATTCGACATCAGTACATCCTGTACCCTATGGCAGGGGTCCCCAAAGGCCAAGGACTGGTCTGGTATGGTCCGTGGCCTGTTAGAACCTGGGCCACACAGCAGGAGGCGAGAGGTGAGTGAGAAAGCAAAGCTTCATCCGTCTTTACAGCCACTCCCCATTGCTCACATTCCCACCTGAGCTCTGCCTCCTGTTAGATCAGCAGCAGCATTGGATTCTCACAGGAGCTCGAACCCTGTTGTGAACTGTGCATGCCAGGGATCTAGGCTGCACGATCCTTATGAGAATCTAATGCCTGATGATCTGTCACTGCCTCCCATCACCCCCAGATGGGACCATCTAGCTGCAGGAAAACAAGCTCAGGGCTCCCACTGAATTCTACATTATGGTGAGTTGTCTAATTATTTTATTATATATTAAATATAATAATATAAATAAAATGCACAATAAATGTAATGCACTTGAATCGTCCCGAAACCATCACCCCTGCCCCCAGTCCATGTTAAATTATCTTCCACAAAACTGGTCCCTGGTTCCAAAAAGACTGGTGACTGCTACCCTATGGAATCACTCGGGATTTAACACTTTTACTTGCAAACGTTAGACGTTTTGCATCAGAGGCATCTTCAGTGGCCCTAGGCTGGAACATTTCCTCATTTAGCTGAGTAGTCCTTAAAAGAATGGTAACTGTGTAACTAACTTCATTGCAATTATGATGGAATTCTCAAACTCTTGGACACTTATAGCTCAAATTTGGGGCATAATTTCTTAAAGATTCTCTATGCCATTGGAAAGGAATGGTGTGGCTACAGTATGCCATCAGGGCAGTGTCCTCTGATTACTGCAACTCCTGGCATTTAGGAGTTTTTTCCTTTTAAAGCGTGAAGGTGAAGGAGGGCTTCAACTGGGAGTTTTGAGTTCTTGGTGTGTGTAACTTACTAAGATTGGTGAGGGATTAAGTATTAGGCTAGGGAAGGAAGAGAGGGAGTCAGATCCAAGTCTGCCCAAGCTTTCTATGTTAATCCAATCAGTTTTCTTTCCCTTTAATTTTTTTTTCTGTCTTCAGATGGATCGTTGAGGCACCAGCATATGACACTCTTAATTTTGGTTTCCACTGATAGATTGGATTAAAAAAATGTGGTACACGGAATTCTATGCAACCATAAAAAGAATGAGATTATGTCTTTTGTAAGGACATGGTTGGAGCTGGAGGCCATTATCCTTAGCAAACTAACGCAGGAACAGAAAACCAAATACCGCATCTTTTCACTTGTAAGTGGGAGCTAAATGATGAGAACACATGGACACATGGGGGGAACAACACACACTGGGGCCTATCAGAGGGTGGAGGGTGGGAGGAGGGAGAAGATCAGGACAAATAACTAATGAGTACTAGGCTTAATACCTGCGTAAGGAAATAATCTGTACAACAAACCCCTATGCCACAAGTTTACCTGTGTAACGAACCTGCACTTGCACCCCTGAACTTAAAATAACAGTTAAAAACATAAATAAAGGGTTTTTCTGTTTCAGTTATACGTCAAGAAGAGCTGCTCTCATTACCTGTGTCGCAGGCAAATGAAAGCCTTGTTTGATTAGTTATGTAATCCAGGAGAACATGTAACTCATCATTTTCAGGAAGGTTGTCAGTGAAGAGAAGAGAAAGAGGGTAGAAGCTTCTTTTAGGATGGAAGAGAAGAAGACAGTTGGAGTGGGACAAGTTCCATTTGATGGTGTGTGGCCGCTATAGCAAGGTACAGTGAAGTGACTCCTGTTTTGGAAATGAGGGAAGCTCTGATTCCCCTGAGAGAGGAGAAAAAGGTCAGGGTGGATGCTAATGGGATGCACCAGGCGAAGGGCACCTGGGAAGCTTCCTCTGTGCTTGCACAGACTCCTCAGATGGGAATTATTTCTCTGCTTCTGACATACTTGTCTTGGTGTAACTGATCCCGCATCTTAAAATCCCCTGCTCAGTTGGAAGCGAGTTCGCCTACCTTTGCACTCCTGAAACACGTGAGAATATTAGTTGTTCCGAATGAGCTGTTAACTGTACTCGTGGGTGGTACAGTTTGGAGAGGGTAACGTGTTTGTTATGAGTATGGGCTCTGGACCCAGCCTCCTTAGGCCCAAATCCCCGTCTCTGCTTTTATTCGCTGGACCTAGGGCAAGTTAACTTTTCCCATCTGCAAAATGAACTAGATCTTGAAAGCAATGTCAGTGCATTTTGTGAGGATAAAACAAGTCACTGCATTTAATGTGATTAATATGTACAAAGCACTTGGAGTACACCCAGTACTCACGAATGCTAGCTGCTACATTTCCTACTAGTGTAATTGAATTAATACACACAAACACTTAGCGTATTACACTTTAAATAAATGCTATTGTATGAACTTGATTGTAACTCTTTGGTGATAGAGACCGTGTCTTCCTTGCAGCGAAGGGCACCATAGTGGCTAAACTTAGAGTTACTTTAGAAAAACCAGGTGTTAGGGTGCCCCCAAGAGCATTGCCAGTGGGAGGGAACAGCATCAAAGAGGGCTTCGCAGATGATAATTAAGCTTTCAGGTCTATGTAGGTCTTACCTATAAATTGTGACAGCGTAAGGGCTGAAGGTCTGAGAGTGTGTGTGCTCACTAAGAGGCTAGGGGTTTCAACTTTCCTGAAATAACTGCGAGAACTGCACAACACAGAGAGAACCTACAGGGAAAGAAAGGAAGGGACCGGGAGCTTCGAGTCACAGTAGGGACCTGGGATGGGGACTGAAAACCAAAAGCGACTGTGGTGACACGCTGCTCCAGCTGGCGGGCAAGGCTGGGAAGAGCCGGAACCCAGGCTTCCTGTCCCACCTCCATAGGACCCATCCCTGCTGCTCCATGCCCTGTGTGAGGATCCACCAGTGCAAATGGTCATCTCAGGTTCCTAGGAGTCAGCCCTCTTGTGAATCCTGCTGCAGATACAAACGAGGCTGGGATGTTGTTTGCGCATCAGTGGGGGGTTGTCTCAGGCAGAGGCCCTAAGGGATGGTGGTGACACCAGGCCAGACGGGAGAGCCTGGCTGTTTGCCTGAGAGTTCCAGCTTTGCCCCCAACAGCCACGAGACAGCTGTTCTCATGCCAAGAAAATGAATTTATACAGTGAGGTAAATCAAATTGTAAAGAACAATGTGATTAGAGAAAAAAAATAGTTTGTTATCTTGCAGTCCCCGGACATGATATATTCATGGCTCAGGACCTTTTAAACAAAGAAATAATAAGAAACCATTTAGAAAAACAAATAAACTGGCAAATGTTTGTGAAATATTTATAAGATGCAGAGCAATTTTCTATGCAAGAATTTATTAGCTAATTTTTTTTTGTCCTGTGAAGGACTATTTTTGGAGACAATGAAATTGTTCTGGAAAATATTTAAATTGGTAAGGATTAAAAATAAAAGAAGCCAAGGCTTTAATTACTATTGTGATTTAGTTATATTTTTGGGGGAAAAATTATGCAAAGCTTTTGGTACTTTTAATCTTTTGTCAACATTTTCCCCATATTCATAACTTATCCAACTTATCAAACAAAGAAAAAAAATCAGATGTATGAGGGGAAGAGATCTGGCTCGGCTAAAATTACTTGGTCTCTAATTCTGTGATGATGGGAGACCTTAGGAATCTCAGACTTGCTGTATTAGTGAGTAAGTAAAAATCCTGGGTTTTAGAACATTTAAAGGAAGTGGTGTTTATTCTCCCTAATTTGCCCCACTTTGCAGTGGAATTATTGCAATTTCAGGGCAATGTACTGAAACAGCGATACTGGCAAAAGGGAATAAGACAGAGTAGAGAAGCCAGGATAGTCAATGATTAGAAAGTATTTTGCAGAGGGACCAGTTGAAGGAATGGGGTGCTTTACACAGAGAACAGAATCCTGAGTGGGAAGCCATAGCCCAGCCCTCCAATGTGTGATGGTTTCAATGTCCTCCTCCTTTCTCTGTCCTCTTCCCAGGAGGGACTCTTGACCAGATGGGTGAGAGAGTGCAGAGCTTTGTGCATAGCAGTGCAGACAAGTAGTGCACTAGGGTGTGGTCCAAACAACGAAGAAACGGGATTGCGTGTCATGTGGGTGCTTCATCCTGAGGAATCTGGAAATTCTTAAGCATCCTTCAATTTCCCAGAGGACCCGAGATGTCTGTCCTTTTTGAGATGGACAAGTTCCCCTGAGAGCTGTCTCACTGTGGTCTACAAACGGGGCAAGATGGACTTGGGAGTTTCTGCAGCTCTGCTGGCCAAACTCCAGCCAGGGGGAAGCCCATGGAACCTTGCAGGCAGTCCCAGCCTCTTAGAGTGATTCCCTGGGAGCCTCCCAGACTTTTTAAAGGGTGGGTTTGAGGAGAAGAAAGACACGTTGCTCCAAATTAGGCCACCAGTTTCTCTGCTAGTTCTCTGCAACACTTTGTGCATTTCTAGGTCATCTCTTACTTACGCTGGAGATGCGTGATGGAGCTTGATGCTAATTAGCAGGGCTGGATCTGTGATGTTTTTATTAAGTTGGGTGACAAAGTGTTCAATGCCTCTCTCTCTAGAATGATGATGCACTCATCAACCTAAGTTCTGTGGCTTTAGCCAAAATTCTTAAATAATAGGAAAAGTCCCATTTCACACCCTGTTCCATTAGGCTTTAACTGGTCACTGTACTGCTCAGTACAATCTGTTTATTTGTGTGAGTAAATAGAAGTGAGAGTCATTGAACTCACGGGAGTATAGCACTCTATTGAGCCTTGAGTCTTAGCAGGTAGTACCTTGGTGGAGAAGTGATTTCATTCTTAGAACTTTTAAAGGAAGTTTCTGGGAGAGTCACCTCTTAGGTGGAGGTTGGGTTTGATCTCAAGGACTTTGTGTTTGAGTTTATAGGACTCTGCCTAAGCAAACATAGAGCTGTCTAGCCTAAGTGGTGTTCTTTGATGCACACTGGAGCTTCTTGATCAGTTATTAAATGTAATTCATTGCTATAAATGTGTCCTTGACAAAAATGGGCATTCTTTAATTTTTGAATATAGAACTCTGTATCCATCCATTAGGGAAAACTCGTCAATTGTGGTGTTCAACTATTCTTGCTGAATTTTTTGTCTGATTGATGTATCAATAATTGTCATAGCAATCCAATATGATGGTGAATTTATCAAACTTCTTTCTGCAGTTTTAACTCTTTTTGCTACATTTTGTGAGTGTTTTCTTAGGTCCATACATTTGACAAAATTTCTTTTTGTCGTTTCAATAAACTGAATCTTTTCAAATTAATGTAGTGATAATCTCTATTTCTAACTCTTCATATTGTCTTAGTGTCTCTTTTATCTAGTATCGATGCAGCTGTATTAGCTTTCTTTTTGTTGGTAACCATTTATGTCTTTTATTTCTTAAAACATTGAACCATATAAAATTGGCAATATCCATCCTTTTTTGTCCTACAAAAATGGCAATTTCATACAGCTGAACCAGTGCCATCAAACTGCTTTTGAATGCCCCTATGCTTTAAGTGGGTCTCTTGTATACAATATGTAAACCCTTCTTTCGATCTTTGTCTTTTAACTATGACTTTAGCCCATTTACATTTACTGTAATTACTCGTATAATGGGATCCATTCTACCATATTAATTTATTATTTTTGTTTGCTCACCTTTCCACATTTTAAAAAATTGTGATTTTTTATTTCTTTGATAATAAGATAGAACTTTTGTGTGCCCTCATATTCACTGGTGTCATCTTCCCTACAAACATTGCCATCCTATTAATATTTTCTATCTTAGCGGTGGTGGCTAATGGAATTTTCTGTGATGATGGAAATGTTCTATAGCTATGCTGTTCAATATAGCAGCCACGTAGGGCTATTAAACCCTTAAAATGTGGCTAGTGTGACAAAGGAACACATTTTAGAGTTTTATTTAATTTTAATTAACTCAAATTTAAATTTAAATAGCCACATGAGGCTAGTAACTACCATATTGGATAGTGAAGATCTATCTTATTAATTCTGTATATTTTGGGCATATTTATCTCTTCCTTGTCCTAATGACTAAATAAAGATAACAACAAACTTTGCAATATATTTGATTATCTTTATTTCATACCACCATCATCACTTGCAACATCTCTTGCATCTGTTTCTTCAATTTAAGCACTTCATCTACAAACTTTTGTCAATGTGGGCCTCTGGGTGACAGTATCTCTAAGGCCTTGTAAGTTTGGTGACCATCCTATTTAATGCTGTTTCGGCTAGATCTAACAATCTGGGCTATTTAATATTTTGCAAACACCAATCCAGTTTTTATTTTTGCATCCATTCTTGCTATTGAAAAGTCTGGTGTTACTTGAACTTGACCTATTACATATAATATGTTCTTCACTTCTGGCTGCTTTACAATTTTTCCTTTTTTAAAGTATTATCTATTTTAAAACTTTATTAAAACTCCTCTCTGGTACTGTATGAGATTTTTCAATGTAAACTATCGTATTTTATATAAAATTCTAGAACATTTATATCTTATTTTTTCAAATACTTATGAGTCCCATTTTAATTTTCCTCTTTTCCTCCTGGAACTCCTTTTATTTGGATTTAGTTGCATGTATTTCATTCCTCCGTGTTGTTTTCTTTTTTTTTTTTTTTTTTTTGTATTTACCAATTACAAAAGTTTTAATTTTTTTTTTCTTCTTTCTGGGATTGATATTCTTCCAATGCTCTGGTCTTCCAGTTTGCTATTGTGCTCCTCAGCTGCTTCCATTTGATATTTATTCTATTCATTTCATTTTTTAGTCAACTATAACCTTTTTCATACCAAATGTTTGACTGTTTTCTATGGCATTCTTTTGGATTCATATTGCTAATATATCCCCTTATCTGTTTTCAAATGTTTATTAGTCTAATTATGAATTCTTGGTTGAATATTTCTGCTTCTGATGGAGGCTGTAATCTAGAAGGGTTTTCTTCTTAAAGTGTTATGCCCATTAACAATCTTTCTTTTTTCTTTTTTTCTCCTGAGAGCGCCTTGCCTTCTGGGTTATTGGCTACTCTGTCAACCATGCACATTGAGGAAGGCCTGACTCCACCACCTCAGCCCCAGTGAGCTCAAAGAATGGAGTGGATGAACTTTGTAGCAGAGACTTGGCACCAGAAAACACAGTCATGGTTAGTCCCCACCCTACAAAACCACTCCTCAGCTTGGGGCTTCACCCACTACCCTGCTGGGAGCAGCAGCCTTAGGGAGAAACACAGTGAGATTGGAATTCACCAGCCCCAGGGAAGATGCACAAGCTACCGCCTGAAGTGACCAGTCTCTGCTTAATCTTTTCAGCTCTTCATGAGCACAGAAAATCTGGACCTCTCTGATGTGCCTTCTGTGGCCATCCGGACCAGGGACCAGAGTTGCCACGGTTTTGGGTGCAGACATGAACTGAATGAAGAAAATGAGTGAAAATTGCAAGCTGAGCTCCCCCAGTGCCTTGCATAACGTCCCAGGCTGCTCTTGCCCTAGGCCGAATCCACCTCCCCATGAGTTTAAAATAGCATTGCCCCCTACCTCCATTTCATGGGGTTTTACCTCCAGAGTTCGTCAGCTTAATTTTGGCCAAAGAAGCCGGGCATCATGTTAGTTCAGCATTCGTTAGGAATCAGACTCCTCTATTCTATACAAATAATACATCAAAAAATTATCTAATAAGAGATTCACTTGTTTGCATATGAATAAGTACTACAAAGCCTTTATTCTCAAACAGGTAAACATATTGAACATCAGTCTAAATCTAGGCTTAATTCAAAATTTATAATAATTTGGATGGAGTTGGAGATGTTTTACCATGTATCATATGTTTCTTTTCAACAAAATTGTTCAACAAAATGGAAAAATACTTCATTTCAATAAAATGAAAAAATATTTTCAACAAAAATGTTTATTTTCAACAAAAATAAAATGGCATATTGGCTGTGGTCCTTCCCAAGGTGATTTAGATGAGATAGTATGAAATGTTTTCCTTTCAGATAAAGTTAATGGGAAAATAACTCCCCCTAGGACTCTGACAGTAAGGACATAGAAGTCATTTTGAAATGCAATTACAGTTTGGATGTGGTTTTAGCTCCTGGCTGCCATTAGTGAGAGCTTAATTTTGGTCTCATGCAAATAATGCCGTGTCTATGAGATAATCGCCAAACATGAACTTTGCAGGGCAAGAAGCAGGGGTGTATTTCTATTTCTAAATTTAAGCCTTGACACCGTTAACTCAAGGAAACGATGAAGCGTGTATAAAAGATGACTTCAGAGAGTTGTGAAGAGATCGCCATTAAGAGAATTTATCACTCACTGAAGATTATCATTATTAAATTTTGAAAGATTTAAAAACAAAGAAGAATCCCAGAAACATACATATTCATGATTTAACAAATGTTAGCATTTGGGCACTTTTCCTGTATGTTATTGTTTTTACATTGTTTTGTATTTTTCTGTACTTAATGCTTTTTTAAAAATAGACACACACAAAAGTAATCATGATCATGCATTTGGTGAATAATCTTTAGCACTGCTAAAAGGGACGAAATAATGGAAGCACACGGAGGCCTAGAAATCTGTCCTCCATTTGTGATGGATGTGTGTCCATCTGCTCATATCGAGACTGGGTCCATCTCAGTGGCCACCTAAGCACATAAAATGCACAACCTGGAAAGATTTTAACATAGAATCATATAATCCTAGTTTTGGAAGGGCTTTTAGACCGCCTAGTCTGACACTGTGATTTACAGATGAGGAGCCTGAAACTGAGAGATGAAATAACATTTAATAAGGTCTTATCGTTCAAGTAACACAGATTTGTTCCCTGGAAGTAATGCACTGAATAAATGGAAAATTATAGCTATAGGTCAGGCAAAAGCTCTGAGAAATGAGGACTGCCTGTGCATTTGTGTCATAAATGGGTACTTGGAGCTAATTTATTTCCTAAATAACAACAGCGAAACTGCTCTGCTGCAGGCCTGCAGATGCATGCACCGGAGTCTAGAATGATTGTTGGCTGATGCCTCTCAACATTCTCTGCATGGAACTTTCTTGGAGTCAGACACATAGATTATGAACAGGTGACAGCTTCGCCTCCAGCACAAAGGAAGTGGCATGGGATAGTTGACTTGTTAGGGCACACACTTGATTACAAAAAGTTTTGTTTTGTTTTAAACTATGGGACTTTCAGATTCTTAAATGTGCCATATGCAATGTTTCTCACACTCAATTAAGGCACCCTTTCTCAGAATACGTTACAGGACAGTGTCCCATAGAACATAGGGTGGGAAACTCTTGCCTAAAGGTAAGAAAATGTCAGGATGAGAACAGTACAGGTTAAAAGAAGATTCTTATGTCTCTGCTGTAAAACAGACCCCCTTTTGGAGTGTGTTATGTGCACTCTATGGAGCATTGACTGTTCTGAAGAATGTTGTAAGATAGATTCTCTCGTGGCCCCCAGTTACGGGTGAAGAAGCTGGACATGGAGGTAGTAAGGGACTCGTCAATGGTGGCTGCTGCTAAGTGGCAGGTCAGGCTCAGTCTTGGAGCCTAAGCTTCTGAGTGCTGCCCTCTGTGTGTGGCCATTGTCTCCCAGCCCTGGCTCTCTGTTTCCATCTGTTCCCGTGCCTTCACTCTCTGAGCTCTGGATTCTTGGCCTGATTTTAATCCCTCCAGTGACCTGTGCAGCCTCCACCTCTGGGTCTTTGCACGTGGTGTTCCCTCTTCCCTTCTTTGCCAGTTAACAGCTACGCACCCTGAGACGTCAGCTCAATGTCACATTCTCAGAACACCTTTCCGGACCTGTCACACTATGCTTCTCTGTTGCCCAGGATCACGCTTTCCCACAGGCCTTAGCATAGACAGATGAGGATGCCCCTTCTTTCCAGCAAAGGCAGGGGCAGGCCGGGCTTGCTGTCCATGTCTGTGTATGGTGCCCAGCAGAAGGCAGGGGCTCAACTCATACAGCAAAGATGAGGGTCCCTTCCCACTGGCTAGCCGCTCATATACACAAGAGTGGAAAAGATTGGATCACTCCCTATGTGGCTGATGATGTGCTTGCTCTGATCTTAGAAGAGTTAAAGCATAGTTAATATTGACTATGGTTTGTGGTCTCAAAGTCTGTCTCTCCAAAATGGAAAATACCCACATACAAATTTCTAAAGTCTCTGCTTTTAAATAACAAAAGTCATGTCCCAAAGTATGAATGAAAGTACGACCTCTTTTGGACCCTTTCTGTTGGTGGTATTTTTGTATGTGTATTATGATTAGCTGGCTCTTATAGAGTAAGAAGGAAAACAGACACCACACCTCTCTTATTAATGCAGCTGACACATTTACCTCCCTGTATTAACAACTTTTAAAAGCAGCATTCTGAACGGAACGAAAGGGTCGTCATTTAGCTCGGGCTCTAGTTACCATTATGTTATCTTTCTCCAGGGATCCAGTTACTGACCCAGCACCTCTCTGAGCATAGGAAATAATTATCGCTGACTCCCTACCTGCAGTGCTTGTGAGCAGCAATAAGAAAAGATGATGGGAAAGCAATTTGCAAATGCCAGATATTACATGAATGCTAAATTATTAATTGCTGCTGCTCACCTTGCCCCTTGTGAACTCTCTCTGACAATGGTAATTTTAAGATGGGAGTTTTTCTTACTATGCTTTATGAAAATCTCAAACTCAAAATCCAGCTTACAGATATCTTTTGCATTTGAAAAGTGTTTTTACAGGATAGGGCTAGGTTTTTATCTTTTGCTCCCATGTCTTAGTCCGAACGACGAGGTTCTCAAGTTTCCACGTTCTGTGTCAGCTGTGAAACTTTTATCTGCCTGTCATTTCTGCGAAGACTCTGTCTCTCATTGCTCGTCACTGACCAATCCTGAAAGTTGAACAGAAAGTACGTTCATGATTTGTGCCGGTCTGATGTCTGCACCTACCACCGTGGGCACAGATCCAGGACTCCAAGCCGGGGGCTGCCAAGAGGAGCCTGGACCTGGGGAAGTGGAGGTGCCATCCTGGGAAACGGCACCTCTGGTGGAGGAGGGGGCGCCACGTCCAGCCTTGCTGAAGTTCTCCATGTCTTGGAGATGAGAAGCCTCACTTAGATGAGGACCTGGGTCAGTAACTGGATCCCTAGAGAAAGGTAGCACAATAGCAACTAGAGCCACAGATAAATGACGACCCTTTCATTCTGTTCAGAATGCCATTTTTAAAAGCTAATAGAGGGGTTGGGCGCGGTGGCTCACGCCTGTAATCCCAGCACTGTGGGAGGCTGAGGTGGGCGGATCACCTGAGGTCAGGAGTTTGAGACCAGCCTGACCAACATGGAGAAACCCTGTCTCTACTAAAGATACAAAAATCAGCCAGGCGTGGTGGTGCACACCTGTAATCCCAGCTACTCAGGAGGCTGAGACACGAGAATAGCTTGAACCCCTGGAGGCGGAGGTTGCAGTGAGCTGAGATTGTGCCACTGCTCTCCATCCTGGGTGACAGAGTGAGACTCTACCTCAAAAAAAAAAGAAAAAAAGAAAAAGAAAAAAGTTGTTGACAGAGGGAGGTAGATGTTTTGGCGTTAATGAGAGAGGGAGAGTGTTTGTTTTCCTTCTTACTATATAAGCACCCACAAGCATTGTGGGGCGGGAATTTAATACCTAATGAATACTGGCTCCGGGTATCAGCAAGACCTCATGTTAATCCCAGCCTGTTTACTCCTGCTCTTGGCTTCAGCCAAGCCCTGGACTCATGTGTTTCTGCTCAAGATGAGACGTGGTCTTCTCCTGCCATCTGTAGATGGTTCCTCCTGAGGACCTGGATCCTAGCACCATCTTTGGAAAAATGGTGACTTCCTGGCAGCAAGGCCAGCTGGTCCATTGTGAGTGAGGGAAGCCCGTTCACACCAGAATTTCTGTCTGGTAATGAGATCAAGCCAAAGACCCTTGAAACTGCAAGAAGCTTTGGCTAGGCCACAAGACTTTTGCAATCAGTGTTGAGCCTTTTCAGGATTCAGTCTGCAAAAGGCAAGGAAGCAGAATAGCTCAATGTCAGATAAGGCTGGTGTCCTTGGTTAAGGCCCCGGGTTTTTGGCTGTGAAGTTGATAAGTATTTTATAAGGCATTGGAGGGCCTACTTGAAATGAGGTGTGCAAGGCGTCGAGATGTGCCCCAAACAGAAAATGTGCTCCACGGATGATGATTATTTCCAGGGGACTTCTGTTTGATCTCTTTTGGCCAGGTTTTGTGCCTGATGATTATATACCTAGAATCTCAGCAACTACCTGCCTAGCTTCTGGCCAAGCATGAGGACTTTGCCTGCACACAAATTATCCATGGAGTGAGACAGTTATGAGCAAGAATCCCGATTTTCCTGTTAGCAGCTGGGAGACCTCAGGCATGCTACTTAACCTCTCTGAACACTCATATCTCTAAAATGGAATTCACATGTCCGGCAGGTTGTGTCCAGGTTAATAATAAAGCTTTGGAAAAGCCTGGTGTGGTGTATGCCTCACAATTGGGAGCTACTGCTAGTAGGCTAAACACACGTGAGCAGAAATTGGCTGCAGGCCCTCAGAACCTATGCTTTGGCCTGATCTGTTGCAATCATGGTGGGTTGGCCCTGTGTTAGTCCTTAGACTAGCATCCCAATATCAGAGGGTTTTCACCTTCTTCTGAGGTTTAGGCCACGAAATAAAATCAGATTTTCATATTTGAGCAAACTGGTTGGCTGGTGTCTGCCCAGCTGCTCTGCAGGTGGACGCCGTGATGGAAGCAAGACTCAAAGGTCTATTTGGGCTTCAACGCTTAGCCTCTGTCTCTCATTCGGCTTCACTGATGGCAATGCTGCAGTTTTCAGCCTGTTCTGACTCTTGGGTGAATTTGTCAATTAGGTTCGAAGCTGTGAGATCGAGGTATAATTAATTAGTATTTTCCAGTAATTTCAGGGAAATCATAGGAGGATTCATATTATTGGAGGGGAATCTATTTTCTGTTATTTAAGGATCATGATGAGCCATTTTCTTGTAACTAACTAGAAGATTATAGACTCTAGCATGTGTGTACGTGTGTGGATAGACTCTAACGTATGTATATGTATTGTGTGGGGTGGTGTGTGCGTATATATATGCTATGTGTGTATATATGTATGTGTATATATATAATACATATCTATGCAAACAATCTTGCTGAAAATTTGCCAGTGGTACAACCAAATTGAGAAAAGCAATATGAATAATAATTAACAGCTTGTTAAATGTGAAATGCTTTTAAATTTATTTCAACTGTTCAAGTAATAAAGTGACATGGTTCTACTCTGACATTTTAAGTCTTGATTAAACATTGTATGTACCTAATGTCATGTATGTCATTGTCACGTATGGGCCTCATGTCCTCCTGTTCCTCCTCTGTCCCCAGGTACAGGAGTGCTGGAGCCAGCTGTGACCTCTGTTCCTTACTTCACACTCGTGAACATTAAGTCAGTCGTTTAAAATCGGCCATGGCGAGAGTCTTCACACCATGGCAATCGGCAAAAGTTACAAAATAGATCCTTCTCATCCCCAGGGGAGACCACCGTGAAGACTCACCTGCCTACCCCTGTTTCTAACTTCCAGTATCTGGAAAGCCCAATTTCCATATGAAGGCTGTCACGTTAATGTGTAAAACCTTGAAATCTCTTTGAGGAAAGTGGTTGTGATCAGCAAGTGTCATCAGGTGCACTTGGACGCCTTGGCTGGGCGCCTTGGCTGAGCGCCTTGGCTGAGGGCCAGGGGAGGCTGCTCTGTTCCCTGCGCTAGCACTGGCATGCCCCACCTGGCAATACCGGGAACCCATACATATGCCTAATCTTATGTTTCACAGCTGCTCTTCTGTCCAAATGGCAATGCAAAGAAAACATATTTTCATACCTAATGAGAAGAGTTTTGCAAATAAGGCTGACATAACCTTAGATAGAGGGTCAGGCACAGGATCTGCCCAAGCACCTTCCCATCTCTTTAGGTGGTGGAGCTGCAGCTGTAGATACAAGCTGTCTGCTAAGCAGACTATGAATGGAGCCTCCTCTAAGGGGCCCTATCTGGGATGCAGGAGCATTGTGGGAAGTGAATTTACCCATAGATACAGACACTTCTGCCTTTCTTTGATACCAGAATGTAGTAGTAAAATGTATTAGTTTAAGAAGGAATCCCCTAATGAGCTTAAAACACCTTTTATGATGCCCCATTGACTACATTACCATTGCTTGTAGGATTTCTTCTTCTTCTTTTTTTAATGGTTTTATTGAATTATAATTTTCATACCATACAATTCATTCACTTTAAATGTACAATGATATTTAGTAATAGAAACTTGTGCAACTACCACCACCATCAAGTTTCAGAACATTTTCATCACCCCAAAAACTTCCTCTTACTCATTTGCAGCCAGTCCTGCTCCCACGGGCCATGACAGCCACAGACAATGCCTCATCTTTCTGTCTATATTTTTAAATCTTTTCTAGAAATTTTCATATAAATAGGATCATGCAATTTTACTGTTTGGTGGCTGACTTCTTCCACTTAGCATAATGCCGTGAGGCTCATACGTGATGCTGCCTGTATTTGTAGTTTGCCTCTTTTATGCTGAGTAGTACTCCATGGCACAAATGTACTACATTTTGCTAATTTTCCTATCAATAGAGATTTGGATGCTTTCCAGTTTGGGGCTGTCATGGATGTTGTTGTTATGAACATTTTTATAAAATTCTTTTTGTAGACATATGTTTTCTTTCTCTTGGGTAGCTAGGAGTGGAATGGCTGGGTTATGTGGTAAGTATATGTTTAACCTTTTGAGAAACTGCCAAATTGTTTTTCAAAGTGGCTGCTCCATTTTACATCCCCTCAGGCATGAGAAAAAGGGATCTAAGTTCTCTTTATCCTGAACTTGGTATTTTTAGTTTTTTTTTTTTTTTTTTTTTTTTTGAGATGGAGTCTCCTTCTGTCATCCAGGCTGGAGTGCAGTGGTGCTATCTTGGTTCACAGCAACCTCTGTCTCCCAAGTTCAAGTGATTCTCTTGCCTCAGCCTCCCGAGTAGCTGGGACTACAGGCGTGCACCACCATGTACTACTGATTTTTGCATTTTTAGTAGAGGTGAGGGTTTACCATGTTGGCCAGGCTGGTCTTGAACTCCTGACCTCAAGTGGTCCACCCACTTGGGCCTCCCAAAGTGTTGGGATTACAGGCGTGAGCCACCGCGCCCAGCCTTTTTAGTCTTTTTGAGTATAGTCTTTCTAGTGGGTATTGTGAACCCCAAATATCTCAGACAGGTCTCAGTCTATTTAGGCAGTTTATTTTGCCATAGTTAAGGACACACACCCATGACACAGCCTCAGGAGGTCCTGATGACATGTGCCCAAGGTGATTGGGGCACAGCTTGGTTTTATATATTTTAGAGAGACATGAGCCATCAATCAATAGGTGTAAGATGTACATTGGTTCTGTCCGGAAAAGTGTGACAACTCAAAACGGGGGTAGGAGGGTGAGGGATGGTGGGTGGTGGGGGTGGTTCCAGGTCATAGGTAGGTAAGAGACAGACAGTTGCATTCTTTTGAGTTTCTGATTAGCTTTTCCAAATGAGACAAGCAGATACTCATTTATCTCAGTGAGCAGAGGGATGACTTTGAGTTCCATCTGTCCTTTGTCCACAGGGAAATTCCTTGTGAGGGAGGCATGTCATTTTTTTTCTTTTATCTTAGCAGCTATCGTTTTTAGGAATAGAGTGGGAGGTAAATTCGCCCTAAGCAGTTCCCAGCTTGACTTCTCCCTTTGGCTTAGTGATTTTGGGGTCCCAAGATTTATTTTTCTTTTATAGTATATAGTAGTGGTCATTGTGGTTTTGATTTCCCTAATGACTAATGGCATACATTATCTTTGGCAAAATGTTTATTCAAATCTTTTGCCCATTTAAAAAATACTGCTTTAAAAAATTGAGTTATAATTTTTTTATATCTTCTGGATAAAAGTCCTTTATTAGGTGATTTACAAATACTCTCTTCCAGTTTGTGACTTTTTTTAAAAAATCTACTCAAGCTCACACCTATTTTTTAAATTCAGTAATGTCTTTTTATTTTCTTATTGATGTATTTTGAAGAGTAAATGCTTTTGATTTTGATAAAATCTAATTTATCACTTTTTTCTTTTATAGGTCATGCTTTCGTGTTATATGAGAAAACTCTGCCTAACTCAAGGTCAACATGATTTTCTTTTTTTTCTAGTTCTACAAAAGATCCTGGTGGGATTTTAATAGGGATTGCTTCACATTTATAAACCACTTTGGAGAATATTACTATAAAAACACTATTGAGACTTCTAAACCATGAATATGATCTATTTCTTCATCTATTTATATGTTTAATTCTCCTCCACAATGTTTTGTAGTTCTCAATGTACAGGTCTTCCACTTCTTTTGTTAAATTTATTCTTAAGTATTTTATTATTTTCAGTGCTATTTTGAATGGGGTTGTTTTCTTAATTTCATTTTGGATTGTTGTGACTAGCAGATAGAAATATGATGGATTTTTATATATTACTCTTGTGTCCTGTGATCTTGCTAAAATCACTTATTAATTCTAATAGTTTTTTTTTTTTTTTGTAAATTTCTTGGAATTTCCTACATAAAAGATCATCTTGTCTGAGTATAAAGACAATTTTACTCCTTCCTTTCCAATATGATTGCATTTAATTCCTTTTCTCCCCCTATTGGACTGGCCAGAATCTCCAGCACGATACTGAATACAGGCGGTGAAAGCCGACATCCTTGCCTTGTTCTTGGTCTTGGGGGGAAAGCATTCAGCCCTTTATAATTAAGAATCATGCTAGCTGTCAGCCTTGGTAGGTTCCCTTATTGGACTGATAAGGCTCCCCTATATTCCAAGTGTTTTGAGAGTTTGTATCATGGATGGTGTTGAATTTTGTCAAACAATTTTTCAGCATCTATTGATATGATCAGGTGATTTTTAAAATTCTGTTAGTATAGTTTGTTACATTCATCAATTTTCAGGTGTTCAACTCTTCTTGTATTCCTGAAATAAACCTCATGGGTCATAGTGGTCATACTGGATAGTCCTCTTTATATGTTGCTGAATTAGGTTTTACTACTATTTTGTTAAGGAATTTTGCATCTATGTTCATTTTCATCTAGTTCAAGTTATTTCCAGTTTCCCCGGTAATTCCTTTTTCTTTGGCCTATAGGATAATATACTAATATATCTTGTCTTAAAATCTGTTTTGTTTGATATTACTATAGCCTCTCCAGCTGTCTTATGGCCACTGTTCTCACAACATACAATTTTTTATCCTTTTACTTTCAACCTATTTGCACCTTTAAATGTAACTTGAATCTCTCATAGACAGTATTTGAGTTGGGTCTTACTTGTCTTTCTGACAATCTCTGTCTTTTAGTTGGTGCATTTAACCCATTGATGTGGTTGCACTTTTGTCTACCATTTTGCTGTTGTTTTTTTCTGTACGTCTCATCTGGTTTTTGGTCCTCTGAGCCTCCTTTACTACCTTCTTTTATGTTAAGCAAATAGGTTTATGTGAAGCAAACCTTTTTAATGTCTTAAATTTTTCATTGTTGTTGCTGTTGAGCTCCAGGTATCCCAGCCATGTCTAGTCCATTGCTTGGCCGCTTCTGGCATCCATTGGGTTAAATTGAGATGCTTTTCAAAGTTTTCTCTCCTACAGGATTTTCTCTCCCCTTCTCCGTCTTGTACATCTACAAAGTTTGACCATGTCTGTTGCCACGGGGCCAAGCTGAGAGAGGCTGTCAGCTCACAAGATGGCCTGAGCACCAGGGCTAACAGAGCACATGTCATCTCTGCGGGGCTCTTTTTCAGAGTCTTAAACAACCTCGCACCTTTCTTGGCTCCAGCAGGACCAGGGAATAGTCCTGATTTTTAGGGGTCCGGGTGGCTCCTCACAGCCCCCTTGCATGGATGAACCCCAGTGGATGCAGCAGCTTCTCGAGCCGAAAGCTGCTTCTGAGAATGGGGAATCTCAACTTGCTTTGCTGCCTCTGGGTGGCTGGGATCCTGGCTCATTTTTCAGCTCTCTGTGGTGCCCTCCGATGACACACTGGGACAGGTTTCTTGCTGTGCCAGGTTTGGCTTCATTGGTGTCTGTGCTCTCCCATCCAGTTACGCCTCTTCTCACCTCCATACTGTCCTCAGCTCGCCTGGACATTGCTGGGTATGTTTGTAGAGTCTGCCACTTAGGGACCTCCAGATATAGGTGAGAATCAGTTCTTTATTTCCAAATCCATGTCCATCCTCCTGAGCTATTTGTGTGTCTGTGTGTGCATTATTTGTGTGTTCGTGCATCACACAAAGTAATGAGATGTTTAGAAGCAATGGCAGAAAGGAACAAACTGCCTTGCTCATTTTATTCCCTCCCAACTCTCTTCTTCCCCCTTCCAGCCTGTTTTTATGCATAATCTTCTAGTGGTGTTGGGAGGTGTGGAGGGAAAGCACATTGCAAATTCTTGTCAATTTTCTCTAACTAGGAGGGTCTCATGCTTGTGTCGGTGCCACAGCTGAAGGCCACCAAGAGGATATCCGAAGATTAACAAGCTGGGTTTATTACTCGTTTTAGCAAGAAAGAACACACACGGTGAAGAACAACGAGGAGTCTCAGTAGGAGAAGGAGGTATAGGATTTGGGCTTTGGTTGGGTGATTGGGAGAGCATGTAAGGCAACAGGTGTTTGCTGTGGATTGGATGCTGTGAGAAAGCAGGGAAGATCCTACAATTGTGTCTCCCCGTGTGTCTTAGTCTCATCTGTAGGGAGGGCAGGCTGCAGTGAAGATAAGGCTGCAGGGGGTAAGAAGCAGCTGTCACTCACTCTAATCAGGAGGGTGTTTGGTATTCCGTGGGTGGTACAGCGACCTTGTTTTTGTGTGTGCTTAGACAAAATTATAAAGCGCCTTGCTTTGTCTCACTTACTCCTGCTCTTGGAGTAAGCTCGCCGGGGGAACTGTTCTGTGAGAATGTTTATGTCCAAGAGAAAAATAACCTGACCCCCCTGTGAGTGTCAGGAGCTGCTCTGATTTCTTCCTTCCTCACCTGGCGACCTCCTTACTGAACCCAGGGGTTTCTCATGTGTTTGTCCTTGACTCTGTGTCGGTGCCACAAGCTGAAGGCCACCAAGAGGATATCTGAAGGTTAACAAGCTGGGTTTATTACTCATTTTGGCAAGAAAGAACACACAGGGTGAAGAACAATGAGGCGTCTCAGTAGGAGAAGGAGGTATAGGATTCGGGCTTTGGTTGGGTGATTGGGAGAGGGTGAGAGGCAGCACGTGTTTGCTGTGGATTGGATGCTGTCAGAAAGCAGGGAAGGTCCTGTGATCGCATCTCCCCATGTATCTGTGTGTGCACGTGTGATTGTGTGCATACATGCGTGTCTATGAGGCGGAAAGGGGAAAGGAAAATTGAACTCGTTTAGGCCTCATGTAAACAACCAGAAGGTAAAACTTCGCATCTCACCCCACTCCACTTGTATTTGATCGCTGTTTAATGGCAGGCGGCTCTGGACGGAGCCAATTTTCCTCTGAGTCATCCTCACAAATCTTGTTTTCTTTATTCGCTCATCACCTCCCTCCCTCTTCTGCCTGATGTTGCCGGCCCCCTTGTGGAATAATCTCAACAGCATGAACTATTTTGCTGTTTTGCTGCATCTCTATTTAGAATCACTGATTTGTTCCAAAGTTACTTGAAGAATCATCTGTGATGGATGGTCCTATAAGGGTGTGGCTCGTCAGTTTTTCTGGAAGCAATTTAAAGCCCAGAAATGTATTAGGGCTCAAGCATTGCAATAAAGCCCAGAACTGAACTTCTTGTGTGGGAACTGCAGGATTATATGAGAAATAAAACAAAACAAACAAACAACCCAAAGACAAAACAAACAAACAAGAAACCCAAAGACAAAACAAACAAAAAAACGGGAAAAAAGGTGATATGAGGAAGGATCACTGGGAGGTGCTATTTCTCCACTGAGGCTAATGGGGCTGAGCAGTGGGCTCTGAGCTTTGTTTAACTTCTCTCCTCTGTATTCCTAAGTGTGCTGTGTGGCTTGCAGTCTGTGGAGAATTGTCACAGCTCTTCCTGGCAGGTTATCACTGTCGGTTCTTTCCAGTCACACCTTGTTCCAAATGACTTCGCTGATGTCTTCCTCTCAGAAGTGTACCTGACTAACCCTTTTCTTCTACAATTTCATTTGGAAGGGAGCTGCTTTTTTCCCCTTCCTTTTTGCATTTATTCAGGTACTATGACAGCTTACAGTTGACGAAGATTGTATTTTCTGGTGGAGAGTGGTATAAGCGAGGTTGAAATTTTGAGTTAGATCTATATTCCTCTCTTAAGAATGTCAAACTTAAAACATTTTTCAAATATACTGTGTGACAGAGACATTTATTGCTCAGTGAAAATCCATGTGAGACCCACATTTCCCAGAGCCTTGGGGCAAGGCAGGGCCATGTGGCAAGCTCTGGAGAGTGGGACAAGGTCCTCAGCATGACTGTTGGACTTCTAAAGCATTTAAGAAAAGGGGAATGGCCCTTTAGTTCTCCCTTCACTGATGCAGTGACCTGGAAACCATGCAATCCAAATGGTGCAGCCATAAGGAGCAATTCACGCGGGCCTCCAAGTCGCTTCTCAAAGCTGAGAGTCCTTAGATAGTGGCTGAAACCACAGAAGACTGGTGGGGTGGGTGGGGGGTCAAATGGAGCTTTATGCAAAGCCACTGAGATCTCAGGGTTGATTTGTTACTGCAGCATAACACATTCTGATTAATGCACAAAACATCTAAATGCTAGAAACTACTACATTTGCAATAACTAAAAAATAAACTAATGTATTACTAAAAGAGGCAATTAACAATTTAATAGCCCTTCAAAAGTTGGAATCCTGATGCTTAGGAAATGGATGTGGAGTTTCTGTGAAGGGGCCTTTTGAGAGAATGAAGGGCTAGCAGTTGGTGGCATTGTTTGACTTCACATCAAATGTCTTCCTTTTTGTTACCTTCATACAGGCTCTGAGCATAACTAGAGTCATTTAAACATTTTCGCTCATAAATAGGAACATTTTTATGTTTTGGAAAGAATGGCCAAAAGGAAAAGGGAGGCATTTGTCATGAAAGTGTGAGAAAATGATTGCCTTAGGTGGAAGCACCTGGGCTGTGAGCAGCAATGCATGAGAGAAAGGAAAGCTCTGTGTATTCACAATTCTAAGAGCCTAGAGGAAAAGCTCTTACTGCTGATTCTTGTTAGAGCCAGGAGAGGTTGTACTTTAAATCAGACAATTCCTAACTGTGGCCTCTAGAGGTCGCCACCATCCCACGACAGCTTGGTGGTTGAGTGGTGCGTGATCAGCGAGGAAGACTATAGGGGCGCCTGTTCGAGTGTAAAGAACATAAGAAACTTAAGTTGTTTTTGCATCCTGGAAATGATTTTCATATGTAACAGTTTTAAAAATTAATGTTAGAGAATTTAGTTAAAATTCTCTCCTAAAGTTAGATATTTCTTAATAAAATCCAAATGTTTGCAGAAGTACATGTTAAACAAAACAAATCAGGAGGTGACTGTATGATATAAAAAATAATTCCCATTAGGGTTTCTTTAAATGCTAAGCATTCTACTTCATTTCATCAATTTAGAATAATTTATTTATGGCAACATTTTAGAAGTAGATTTAATAAAGAGAAGTGTACTAGCATAGTTTAATCTGATTTAACTCAATATTAAGTTTCCTGAACTCTATAGACTATATACAGTCATAAAATAACCAGAACTATTCCTTGGGTGACTTCCCAGAGGCACATTTTGTTAATAGTCTTTTGGGCGATTTTCTTGCTCATCATGAAACCATAGTAGGTGCTAAGTACTTCCTCATTAATTTTTTGTTTTTCAAAATTTCCTTGAAAAATCATGGAGTTAAATAGAATATGCATACACACACTATTTTTAAAGTATTTTGCTTTTTCCAAACAGTGGAAAACATTCAAAGTGTGTTTCTGGGGTAATAGTAGCTTTTTACAAAGTTTTTAAGAACCTAAGAACTAAAGAGATGACGTTTTAGCATTTATTCACTTTGTCCCTCAAAGCACAGGATAATTATTTAGAGCTGCTTGTTTGCCTCTTTTTAGACATCTCATTAGGATTCAGACTGTTTCTTGCACAAGGGAGAACTCAGCCTGAGGAAAACACGATGTAGAATGCATTGGGAAGATTCCAGTAAGATCAAGGGGAAGGGGCTTGGAGATGGAAAATGGGCCAGGACTTTCCTCTGTGCCCCACTTCTGCCTTGCAACCCTGTCGTTAACACGGGGATGGTGACCACTATAAGCACAGCTGCGTTTGTTTCAAGACATAAAATGCAGACTGCTCTGCTTGGTGTGAAGGCGCCACAGGCAAGAGGACTGACCCAGGCTCTGGAGGGAAGTTGTGCATCCTGTCTGTTGCACACCACGATGCGATGGCCACAGTGATGCTCCCACCCCTGTCTGTTACGTGGGAGCAGAGCCAGGAGCTGGGTGACAGAACCCGTGGTTTCTGGAACAGGAGAGCTGCTACTTCACAGCCTGGAGGTGCACAGTCCAACCTCTCACAGTTGCCTCCGCTAGCAGCAGAGCAAGGGAGGACCAGGTGAATAGTGTGGTGATTACAAATGCAGCTCAATGCTTTCAGTTGTGGCATCAAATACATTCTAATATTTAAAAGGACCTGTGAATTGTAAGAGCTGGAAACTAATCAAAGATGAACAATGCACCCTGGTGACGGACTCATTCCCCTAGTCTGGTGTTGAGGACATACTATGCTGTTAGCACTTACCATGTAGGAGGTCAACACACTGAAGGAAATTCAGCCACTTTCTCATTCGTAACTGCACAATAATGGCCTCCATTATGCTTTTTGGAGGACCCCTTTTTCGGACCACAGCTAATGGGGCTTCCGTCTGTCACCCAGGTGGCCCTTGGCCAGAGAGTCACTGCCCGGGAGGTTTCCGTCAGCGTGGCTGGCTCAGCCGGTTCCCTGCCTGGGCAGCTCGTCTCTATCACCTCTGCCGGTTCTCCAGCTTGCTTTCTTCTGACTTTCTCAGTCACTCTGAAAGTGGGTCTGCAAAGCAGTTTCTTCTTCCCCCACAGCTCCCCGTCCCACAGGCTGGTATGAAACCCCGGCTGCTTTCCCTAGAGATCCCAGCAAACCAAACCAAACCAAACCTCTGTGAGGATCCCTGACCCGGGTCCCTGAGGCCCCGGTGAGGGAGGACCCGAGGCAGGACACACTCCACCGCTTGGCCGCCCCTCCTGTGCAGGCCCCTCACCCTGTGCACGCTGCTCCGAGTCCAAGGCTCCCAGTCAGCCGCCTCCGGGTGCCTTAGACCATCGGGGATCCAGAGTAGGGGGCCTGGGAACCTTTCCCCTGACACTGCTCAGCCGATGCTTTCCGCCCGCACGGCGGCAGCACCACCGTGACCCAAGTGTCCCTCGGGGAGACCTGCTGTGGTTCCGGCTTCCCCTCCCACAGGGCTGACCCGTGCACCTCTTCCATTTGCCGTCACTTTCTGCTGTTGCTCACCCTCCCTGTTTGCTGCTCCGCCCCCTCCATCCTGTACTCCATACAATCTCCTGTATGGAGTTCTCTCTGTTGTTCAAGTGGCCCAACTGTTTTCCTGGCCGGATCCTCAAGGACACGGTTGTCTCCTTCCTGCCCTGACTCTTTCATTTTCTTCTATTCCATTTTGTCCACAAATATTCCTCTATCTTCCAAAAGTAGGTGATTCTGACACCTAAGCCTCATGGCTGTTTCCACTCCTCTAAGGAATGCAGTCCTGACAGCATCCTTATCCCCCAGGGGATCAGGGCTTCCTGAGTTGTAGAGAACTGTTTCCGTACCTTGTTGTGGATAATTAGACAACAGTTTGTTTTACCTAATCAAAGTGTCTCCAAAAGTCCGTAGGTTCTTTTAAAATGAATACATTTTTACACTTTGGGTTACAATCTGAAGGTTAACGCCAGTGTAATATATGATTAGTTTAGAAATCTCCCTTTGTAGTACATGAAAAAAAAAAGCAATGAGTTTTATGATTAAAGTTAATGTATTAGCCTCTATATACCTTGAGAGGTATTGGTTAAGCACATTTGAGCTGCATTGATTCTGGTTTTGTTTTCAGGCATTCCAGAATTTCCATTTATTGGACATCCTATGTCTATTTTCTGTTTATCTTGTAAATCTAAATCTTTTTCCTCTGATAGGAAATGTTTCCTGCATTCTGGGTGATTTTATGCAGCTTGTCTGAGGAAGTACTAATTCTGTTAACTCCCCAGTGTTGATTCTCCTTTTATTCTGTGCACCGTGGGCTTACATCCTGGGTGGTATCTCTCTGTACTGCAACTTCTCGGCATAAACAAAGCTCTTTTTCTTGCTGTCATCTGGCCCCGGCTCTTTTTAGATTTTCTGTTTCATGGAGCTCACCTGAACGTCTCCAGCCTCAACAGCTTCTGATGACCCTGCGAGTTGATGTTCCTGAGCTCCTATACAATTCTGGGTATATTTCTGTGTTTTTAAGGACTTTAAAATAAACATATATGCCACCCACTGTATGATTCCAACTACATGACATTCTGGAAAAGGCAAAACTATGAAGCTGGAAAAAAGACATCAGTGGTTGCCAGGACCTGAGGGAAGGGAGGGATGAACGGGCAGAGCCCCGAGGAATTTCAGGACAGTGAAACTGTATGATACTGTAATCGTGTGTATCCATGTCATTCTGCACTTGTCCAAATGACGGAATGTATAATTCCAATCGTGAATCCTGGTGTAAACTATGGATCTGGGTGATTAGGATGCATCACTGTGGGTCCACCAGCTGTCACAACTGTACTGATCTGGTGCAAGGCGCTGATAGTGGGAGAGGCTGGGTGGGTGCGGGGTACAGGTATATGAGAACTCTCTGTACCTTCTGCCCAATTGTGCTGCAAACCTAAAACTGCTTTGAAAAATAAAGTCTGTTAAAAGTATATACATATGCATGCAACAATTCTCTATGCAATTAAAAACAATATTTTTTTTGTGTGTAGACTTTAGAATAAACCATAAATGCCATTTTCTCCTTTAAGTGACCCCTGACAGTTTCCTCCCTAGAAGGAGCCACTATTAACAATCCTGCCTGTATCTCTCTAGATCCTTTTTTGTGCCTTCACGTGCACTTACACGCACACTCACACTCACACATGCTGTCACACACACAAACACGCGAACACATCCATACATACTCACACACACAACTGTCAAATGTAAACGGGATTCTACTTCACATGTTCCACAGCCCTTCATGGTTTTTCTAACAATCTTCAAAACCTTAACATATCAGAACATACTATCAGAATTCGTTGTTTTTCACTGGTTCGTAATGTTACTCATTTCCCTCTTGGGTTGTTTTCATCTTCTTGAGTAGTTGGCGATTTTTAAACACATACTCTGAATATCAGTCTTTAGCCTATGGTATATGTTGCAAATATTTTCTCTCATTTTTTCTAATTTTCCCTTTTTTATGGTGTTCTTTGGTCACAGGCGTGTTTTAAATGTTCAGGTAGTGTTTCCTTTGACTTCTGAATTTTATGACTAGCTGGGAGAATCCTTCCCCATCATAAGATTATGAAGTTATTTTGATATTTTATTCCATTCTTTCAAAATCATTGGGAATTTACTTTTGGCCATGATATATCTAATTTTGTTTCTCCTTAATGGATGGCCGTTTACTTGAAAACCATTGAATACATGGAGGAATTCATTTCTCTACACTGATTTAAAAATACCACCTTAGTGATCTGTCTAGATTTTCTGTTCCGTTCTATTGATTTATTTGTCCTTTCCTCCATATATACATTATGTTAATTTCTATAACAAGACTATATGTTTTGAGGTCTGGCCTATTTCCCTTAATTGTGTGTTTTAAATCAGAATTTTATTAGTTTTTTTGCATTTATTTACTCCGCCGGATGAATGTGGGAATCAGTGCGTCAGGTTCTAAAAACATACTGTTGTAATTTTGATGAGGATTGCATTGAATATGCAGACCAAGTTTGGGAAACTTGGGAACCTTCACAGGTGTTTGAATACAGTTCTTGCACATTTCTTGTCAGATGCATGTCTAGGCTTTCTGTTCCTCTCGTTACTGTGACTGGAATCTTTTTTTTCCCCTATCGTACTTTCTACTTGCTGTGACTAGTACCTATATAGAAAATTGAGTCAGTGTAATTCATGTGAGTGGCTGTAACAGTCTTAAAGTTTCAGTGCTTTAACACCTGGCGATTTTATTTCTTGCTGATGGACAGGTTGCTGTAAGCTGGGTCACTTTCCTCTCAGTAATGCCTTAGCACTCCGGTTCTTTCCACGGCAACCATGCAGAGTGGAGAATGTCTGGACTCTCTTCCTTAAGATTGCCGCCTGCATGCCAGCCTTCCCTTTCTGAATGCATCTCTTTCTTGTGATGGTTTTCCAAGTGGAGCTTTCACAGCACATGCTACTAACCTCTGCTCTTCTCCAGAATGACAAGAGCCTCTGGCGTGTGACCTGTGCTCCAAGAAATAAAAGGCAAGAGTTTTACTAAATATTTTGCTGCAAGATAGTGTTGATCCAATTTTCTAGTCTTAAATATCATTTTTCTTACCTCTTGACATCCAGCTGCTAGAATAATGCTATGTGGTTTAGCTTTTATTATTTTTTAAAAAATCAAATACCTCGTTTCCAGTCACCAAGTTCTTATTAGGGTAATTAACGTAGGCTGATGTCACAGACAACCCACAGATCTCATCATTGAAGCAATTTCTTTCTCATGTCATAGGCCCCTAATGGATTTGCTCTGATTTTGAAGGTGTTTTACCTTTGTCTTTTCTAGGAAGTTGGGGAAGAGCGAGGCGAAGGAGTAGTATCTTGTTCCGTCGGCATCCTCGATCCAAGGCTTTCTTGCGAATTCGTTTTTACCACATTTAAAGTGTGATGCCCAGAATGGAACTCGGAGCTGCTGGCGCCCCCATCCATCTTTGGAGGCTGCGGACATAATCAATGGAGCAGGCAGAGGACCTGCAGTCCCAAGCCTGCTAGTTGGTGAGCCTGGAATTGCTATGCTCTTAGTATCATGTGTTCCAACTATAAATGCTTTCAGCAGCTTTTCCCACTGGCCACTTGGTCATATCTGTACCCAGACTGAACCAGTTCCTGACCCCAGGCCCTCCCCACCATGCCCATCCTACTGGGCTGCGGCTGCCTATTGGGGCCACACCCTCCTGCCTGTATAACCCTAACTTTGGAGCCTGCCGGTCCTGCCTGAGCTGCTCTTGCCTTTTGGAAACCAAGGATTGAGCATTGTTCCCTGAGTGTATTTTTGGTTATGACTTTCTCTTTTCTCCACAGAAAGGCATCTCTCTGCAGGTGTTGGGCTTTCTCTGAGCTCAGCGGCTGCTCTTGGCCTTCTTTCTCCAGTTCCTGTCCTCCTCTACCAGTCTTGAGACCGCGGTGTGGAGTTATGTCCCCTCTGTTTTGTCTGGCTGCTTCTGTCTGGGACGATGGAATCCTCATTAAATGGGAAATGTTTATGGAGGAGGGAGATGGGGAAGTCATTCACTCCTGTTAACATTTCGGCTCAAGTTAGCTTATTCATATGAATGACACAAAGTCATAAATTGCTCCTAATCAAATCTGTGCACACAGTAAAGCCTCTTTTATGCAATGAGTGTTTACTTAATTGAATGTTACATATAAACGAAGGTTACTCCTTCAAGGGACAAACGTGAGGGATTTCAATGGAAAATTCTGAAAATGAGCCCCTGAAGGAAGGAAGATGGGAGGTGAAAGATGCTGAAAGAGAACAGAATGGGGCCAAGATGCTCCGGGAGAGCACCATGGGAATCCCAGTTGCTCTTGCGTTTCACTTCCAACGGCAAAACGAGGATGATGAATTGCTTTCTGAGAATCCCTTCCTCTTGCAGGGACTTTTGGCCAGAGACTTGTCCATAATAGGTTCTGCATCATGTCAGAGCCCTAAACCATAATGAAACACCATTGCGTTTATTAGAGTCCTCGTTGTGTTACCTTAGATTCTTCCCCACAAGGGCAAACCCCCAGTATTGATGTCAATGCTCCATCAGATTCTCCTGGTGTTAGACGGAAACGTGAGGCTGGATCTGCTAAGTAACCTTCCACTCCTGTGTACTACAGAGGCCCTTCTGTAAGCCCCACCCACAGGGGAGCCAGACCTCTGCACCACAGATCACGTACAGAAACTAAAATGAATGCTGACTCTCAGGAGGTCATGATAGGACTCATTATCTTGTCATTTTTTTTTCAGAGCCCCAGAAGTTTGCAATGATAAAAACAAGAGCATTTCATGGGAAACAGCATGCAAAAGCCCTTGCATGCTGTCTATTTTTATATAAATCAGCAGAAGATAAAGAGCTTGTCTTGATTCATGCTGTTCCTCCAGGGAATGTTTTGAAAAAAGGCAAAAAAATCAGTGAGAAGAGCGACGCCTATAAATACAGTCGGAAAGGAAAATAAAAACAGCCCACTAAACGCTGAGTTTGACAAAAACCTAACAAAACCAAGGAACATTTTTATGTTTTTTCCTTTCAGTTTTACTTTTGATCATGTTTCTTCCTGAGGTTTTATGAATGTATACATCAAGTGGGAGAGACAAAGTCCCCAAATAATTGTAGAATGATGAGAATGTAGGAAAGAGAATGTAAGCCCTTGTATTCCATGTTATTTTTCTCAGAAAAACTTACAGTTCCACATTTCCCCTTCTGATTTTCACTGGAAAGCAGTTTTCATCTGAAATGAAATAAGTGAGGATCATGAGTTTGCCTGTATGTCTTATTTGAAGCCCGCGCCGTGTAGTGTCCTCACTTTCAAACCCGTGTCTCGAGTTTACCCTTCAATTCCTGAAAGTCTGAAATTTTAGAGGGACAAAGGAAAATTAAGAATTAAACTAAAAAGAGTTAAATCGTGGTTAACAAACATTTCTGTAAAAGGGGCAGGAAGTAAATATTTTCTGCATTGTGGGCCACAATTCAACCCAGCTCTGCCATCATAGCACAAAAGCAGCAAGGGACAAGATGCAAACAGAGGGTGTGGCTGTGCACATGATTTTCACCTGTCATAAAATATTAATATTCCTTTCATTTTTTTCCAACCATTTAACAGTGTAAGAATGATTCTTAGCTCATGGGTTCTATAGAAACAGGTGACAGCTGGACTTGACCCACGGGTCATAGTTTGCTGACCTTTGTACTAAATCATGCTCTCGATCCGACGTACCCTTAAAGTTGCTCTGATAGACACATTTCAACACTGGAAAACGGTATGTGGATTCATCTGCTTTATTGAATACTGTTACTTTTGATTACTGACCTCTGTCTTGGTTAAAGATGCCAAGAACTTAAGCATGACTCAGCAGGTGTTCTGTGACCTTGGGTCACAGGCCAGGGAGGATGACATAAATAGGGTCAGATGGCATGTTGTAGTGGGAACCATAATGATAGCAGCAGCTAATGAAGCAGAACTGACTGTGTGTCTGGGACTGTTTGAAGGGCTTTAGAACACTTGCCCAGCTAGTCAACATGATGAACCTAGGAGAAAGGTGCTAACATTCTCATTGTGGAAATAGAGAAAGAGGCACAGGAGGTTGACTGACCTACTCAAGATGACATACAGTCCAAGTGAAAGCATCTGCTCCCACACTTGGGTGGGCCAATCCAGGAACCACCCTGACCCATTCCACTACAGAGAGGAGAGTTCTTCCCTGCCAACGACACATCCTGAGAGAGGAGAGCAATGAAATAAAACTGATATGAAAATCATGAGCAATGAAATGAAATGAAACTTGTAGAGCTGCTTAATCTAAGAGTAAACAAATTCTGCCATAAATGCCAAGGCTCCTGGCAAGTGACAGAAATCAACATTGACTAACTGAAGCTCACCTAAGTAGAATGACCAGGTTGAGCGTCCCGAGAGCTGAGCCCAGAGACTAAAGCACTGTCCTAAGGATGCCCCCTCCATCCCTTGCCACCTCACATCTCTGCCATCTCCATTCCACTTTTCAGATCAGTCTCATTGTTTCTCACTACAATGAAACAATGGTCAGGTGGTAAAAGTTGCTTCTGACAGCCCTACCCTAGAAGCTGGTAGGTCAAATCATGAGAGTAAGCTCCCTTCCCATCAACTCCAGGGAAAAGTCCAGGGAGCTGCTCCAGTTACCTTCCAGTGGTGGTCAAATGCTCTCCGAGAGTGAGTGCTATGGGTGCTCTGGTGCCATTTCCTCAGCCTGTTATGAGCTCAACACAATATCCGGAGAGAGGGAGGTAACTGCCAGTCCCATGGACACATGGATTAGGAATAGAATTCCCCAAAGAAGAGACCCAGGCACACTAGAGTCAGAGAGAACGGGCTCCTCAGCTGGTGTGACTGAACTCCAGGGAGCCCAGAGTAAGAAAGGACCCTTGACACCCTCCAGGAGACCCCAGGTAAGCCCATAACAAAACTTCATTATATTTCAGCTGATTAGACTGGCTCAAAGAGAACCAAAATGATAGCAACTGGGTGTTTCCCTAGCATTAGAATCATTGTGTGAAGTGGTTCTGGCTAAGCTCTAGCACACAGGTTTTCAGGTAGACTTTCCATAGTCAGATACATAAACACACAGACACTCACATGTGCACACGTGCATGCACACTCGCACACGTGCACGCACCATGCACAAACACATGCACGCACACACGGGCACACTCTCACACATGCACGCACCATGCACACACACAGGCACATTCTCACACGTGCATGCACCATGCACACACACATGCACGCACACACAGGCACACTCACACATGCACATGCATGCATCATGCACACACACATGCACACACACATGCACGCACACACAGGCACTCACACATGCACATGCACGCATCATGCACACACACATGCACGCACACACGGGCACACTCACACATGCACATGCATGCATCATGCACACACACATGCACACACAGGCATATTCATGCACACACAGCTTGCAGTGTCTGAGTCACAACAAAATAGGCTATGTCTTGAAATCTCAGTAGCTTAATGCAGCCACAGTTACTTCCTCACTTGCATAGACAGAAGACTCTGGGAGCTTCCTTCCTGTGACTCCATACACTCAACACGTAATTCCCTGATCTCTAAGGCAGGAAATTTTTTTTTTTTTTTTTATTATACTTTGAGTTCTAGGGTACATGTGCATAACGTGCAGGTTTGTTACATATGTATACTTGTGCCATGTTGCTGTGCTGCACCCATCAACTCATCAGCACCCATCAACTCGTCATTTACATCAGGTATAACTCCCAGTGCAGTCCCTCCCCCCTCCCCCCTCCCCGTGATAGGCCCCGGTGTGTGATGTTCCCCTTCCCGAGTCCAAGTGATCTCATTGTTCAGTTCCCACCTATGAGTGAGAACATGCGGTGTTTGGTTTTCTGTTCTTGTGATAGTTTGCTAAGAATGATGGTTTCCAGCTGCATCCATGTCTCTACAAAGGACACAAACTCATCCTTTTTCATGGCTGCATAGTATTCCATGGTGTATATGTGCCACATTTTCTTAATCCAGTCTGTCACTGATGGGCATTTGGGTTGATTCCAAGTCTTTGCTATTGTGAATAGTGCCGCAATAAACATACGTGTGCATGTGTCTTTATAGCAGCATGATTTATAATCCTTTGGGTATATACCCAGTAATGGGATGGCTGGGTCATATGGTACTTCTAGTTCTAGATCCTTGAGGAATCGTAAGGCAGGAAAATTATGCCCACTGTCCTTGAACTTCCATTTGCCTGCAAGGGCAGGTTTACACACCTCCCCCCAACCCCATAACATGACAAAATGGTAAAATGACATGCACACCCCTCCGACGATGAAACACCCTTTGCCATCATTTTGTTCTCTTTGAGCCAGTTTTCAATGAGCTGAAATGCAATTAAGTATTGTTGCAGGCTCTTTCTGGGTCTCCCGGAGGATGCCAAGGTCTCTGGCCCTCTCAGATCTCCTGGAGGTCAGTCACACCCTTGAACTCCCCATCATAATCACCCTTATTTCTAACTAACGACGTGATGGTTAATTTCACGTGTCAACTTAGTTGGATCCCAGTACCCAGATATTTGGTCAAACATGGCTGTGGATGTTTCTGTGTTTGGTGTTTTTTGAATGAGGTAAACATTTAAACAGGTGCACTCTGAGTAAATCAGATTCCCTCCCTAATGTCGGTGAGCCTTATCCCACCAGATGAAGGCTGGAGTAGGACAAAGATGGAGGTCCCCTGAGCATGAAGGAATTTTGCCGGCAGGTGGCCTTTGGACTCCAGCGGCAACTCTTTCGGAGTACCTCCAGCCTGACAGTCTACTCTACCAGATTTTGGACTCATCATATCTCCAACCAATTCCTTATAATCTCTCTCTCTCTCTATATATAAATATATGCGCTCATATGTATGTGTGTGTATATATATATATGAGTGTGTGTGTGCGTGTGTGTAAGAAGAGAGACAAAAAGAAGATAGCCTTTATTGTCAGAGGAGAAGTAAGAGCAGATGGACTCAAAGATCTCAAGCTGTGGTTAGTACCTTCCTAGTATTCAAGACCCTGAAAATGAACAACATTTCTTTTCTTCTCTTACAGCCATCTCCCCGTCACAAGTTGCATGCACTCATGGACCACGGAGTGAATCCAGCGTATCACCCTAGTCTACACTTTGGGTAACATTTTTATCTTTTTTTGTTTGTTTGTTTTTGACATTCCACACTAAACAACATTGTCTATTGTTTTACCCTTGGCTGAAAAAAAAGGCTTGATACAAAATGCCTTTCCTTTCCCTTTGGTCTCTCCCCATACCACATGTCTCTACTTGCCTTCCCATAGAAATGAGGACTTTTACTGATTTCGTATATGCACCTGCACGGTGCTAAGAAAGGAAAGGTCCACTCTATTGTAGGGATTGGCACAAAAATCAACCCCAAACTAAACTTGGTCTTATGTAGGAAGTGAAATAGCCAAGAATCCTCTAAAATTAAGGCAATTCCAGACTATAAGGATGAACACAGAAGCAAATGCTGTCAAAAAATGCAGGATTTCTTACCTGAGTCATTAATGACCCACTAGCCTAGCATGGCAGACAGGTATTGATTGCAACCTTCCACACAGTTTTGATTCCTAGCCTGTCTCACCATGACTCAGTTTTCCTATCTATGATATAAACATAAAAAGACAGAAATTATCTCAAAGTTTCTGCAAAGATTAGCGTGAGCAATGACAGACACTCAATCTCTGGAAAATGCCTTAAATTCAGAAAATTCATGAACAGACGTTACCTCTAAGAGAATGAGTATCAGAGCTAAAGAGAACCTTCCTTTTCCTTGCAACCATTCTCTTCAAAATAAGGAGCCTGATGTTTCACAAAACCATCTGTTGCCCTCTTCTGTTATTACAGCTGAATGCTTTAGAAATCATTCTGCACCACTAAAAATAAAATCCACGTAGAACCTAAAAGAACCAATGCCAAGTTACTGAAGCCAAATTCAGGTTATATTTTTAAAAGTGTCTATGAAATCATCTATAAATAGAAAGGCTTTCCTGTTATTTTTAATTACTTCATTTTAATGGAAACAGACTCCAGTTGGTGAGGATGTGGTTAGGATGCCACGGCACAGGGCCTGCCCTTCCGGACAGAAGGCTGACTCCAGCCAAACGAAGCCAGGGGGTGGTATTGCGCTCAGCATCTTCGGTGCTTACTCTTGGTTACTGATCCGAAAGCCTCCTTAGAAACCTCCTGGGGTGTCTCAAACCATTTCAAACATGTGCATATTTCTGTAAGTCAAATGACAAGTTGATTTTCTTATATTTAAGGTAAATGTGGACCACAGAGAGTTTCTCTGTGAGCTGGAAGAGGAAACATTCCTGAGTCAAACGCTAGGCCAGTGCCACAGCTCCAGGTCTGCCGGCAGAGGGGTGTGTCTCCAACAGGCATCTGTGACATGCAGGGTGCTGGTCCAGTCCCCCAGAGCCAGGGAGCCTCCCAGCCCATGCCACCTCACAGGGCAGAAAGAGGGCTCATTCTGCCTCACACTGGCTGAGGGAGGACAGGAAACAAGGAGACAGCCTGGGGGACTCTGGTAGTGACCCCCATCCCCAGACCTGGATGGAAAGCTGAGAGTCTGAACAAGTCCTAGCTGGTGGCTCTAGTCTGCTTGTGTGACACCATGTGCCACCACAAGCCACAGGAAATGAGCAGCACATCAGATGGGAAGAGTGAGGCCCGAAGAAATCTATTCTGCTTCTTGTGGCAAAAGCCGAGCCTTCATGCCCCCGGCCTCAAACAGCTCCATCTCCTGCTGCAAAAATGTGCCCCAGAGCTACAGCCTGACTGGCCAGGCGGATATTAGAGTTCCTTGTCTCAGATTTCCTGTCTGGGTCACTAACTTGAAGGCCATGTCAGACCAGGTAATACTCATCCAGCAGTATGAGGGTGTCACTCTGCCAGTTCTCTCCTGTGTGGCCTTGGGTGTGTTCCTTAGGCCCTTTGTGCTCCTCCATTTCCTCAGCTGTAAGAGGGGGGTGATAACTGCACCTGTTCATAGAGCAGTTGTGAGGATTGAGTAAGTTAAGTCAGTAAGGAGCCTGGGGTCATTCCTGGCACATAGTAAGCCCTCTAGAAGTTTTTGGCAATTAGATCATTACATGTACAAGTTAACGTAATTGTGAATATCACGGATCCATAGGATGGACTGATTGTGTATTAACAGGAATTTGTTCTAATCGATTATGTCCTGTCTCTGACAACAGCAGTGAAATGTGAAATGTGAAAGTGTAGGTGTGTGTACTCCTGCTCATGAAGGACAAGTTAGATAACTTGCAAGTTTTATGATGCACTTTCTTTGTTCCCAGGATGATGATTTTGTCACGTTCCTCTTTCTGTCTCAAGGGAAGCAGGTAACAGGGCCATCCATTTGTATGTGTAAAATAAAACTATCAAAGCAAAACATGATGACAAACCACAAGTGCTTCTATCCTCATGCTTTCCACGATGCCTGTCAATGAGTGCTTACCATGGCCCTCTCCTGGCCTTCCCACTCCCAGCCCTCTTCTGGCTTTCCCACTGAGTGAGAGCTCATTTGACAGGCAAGACAGCATCTCCAGGCCCTCTCCTGCCACTTGAAGGAGGCCTCTCAATCTCTCTGGCCACCAGCACCCCAGCTCAAAATGAGGATTTTAACAAGATGAACCCTATATTCCCACGTTGACTTCTAAATTGTATATTGCAGAGAGAGTGCTGGGAAAAAAAAGAAATGAAATGATGTGAAAAAAATGAAAGAAAAGAGAAAGGATTTGCTAACCCATGACATTTATGTCTAGAGGACTCACAAATGAAATTTTGAGAAAAAGATATGGTTATGTCTCAGCAAGTAGAGTTTCTGAAACATCATGTGCCAACCTCTCCTTCGAGGGTTGTCTGTGTCTTCTGGGGTGTCGGTGCTTCTGGTGCCCACGTTTCATGATGCTGACACAATTCATTTTATTTTCAGTAGGAGAAGAGCAGTTACTCAGGACAGCCATGCTAGTCTGGACTAATCTGGATAAATTGTCCCACACCGGAAATAAACAGGCCATCAACCCCAAATGTCAAGCATGACACAAGGAAGTTGGAAGGACCCACCAAACTCAAGGATTCTCCTAGCACACAAACTGAGGAAGAACA